CTAAAACTAATATTTTTTTTCATCCCTCCAACCATGCAACAAGGAGATTACTAAGCATTTGTCCTCTAAGAAGGGGGAATCCCGAGCTTAGGAAAAAGGGTCTCTGGCAAATGCTTGGAGCAAGCACACTAAAGGCATAATAACAGCAATAAAATATTAAATGCAGCATAAAAAAAGATGACAGACCATAAAAATGGTAATAAAAAACGAGAGAGCAAGACAGGAAGGAAAAGTGGGAAGCGCTAAAGTTAAAGATGGTAAGCAAAAAACAAAAGTTAAGAAACCAGAAGAAAGCCACAGACAGAAGACGATGGTCAGCAATTTTTTTATACAAGGGGAAAGAGGAAAAAACTTCAGCTGGTGTCATTATCAATAATATAATAGGCAAAAGCAATAAAGTGCAGGGAGTTGTGGGACTGAAAGCAAGTAGATTAAGAAGATAGCAAAAAGGGGTTATGAGAAAGTAATGCAGCTGGAAAGAAAGAACAGAGCTAACGAAATGAGCAAATAACGGTGATCATCTCTTCCACCAAATAGAAAGTCACGTGTGGAGGAGCACCTTGGAGGACGACGAAAACTTGCAAAGTGTCCAAGCAGCTTTTATCTAGTTGTACAATGAATTATTTGTATTGACATTTTGGGACATTCAATGTGTATTTTTATTAACTTAGGCCTTGTTTGATAATCAAATTCAGCACTTAAACTTAATGAATTCAGATTTTAACATATTCAGATTATTTGATAACAAAAAATTGAACATCTAAATTAATTAAGTGGCACTGAATTTTCTAGGCATAATTTGCTCTCAAAATTAAGTAATAAACTATTCATCTATCACTCAACGTGATATGCATGCAAATGTATTAAATTTAATATTTAACAATTCAATAAGTTAATAGATTCAGATTTCAAATTTCAGATTTTAGACTTCAGTTTTCAAACTTCAGTTTTATCAAACGTACTCTTAGTCAATTCACAACTAGACACTTACGTTCACTAATGCAAGAGGGTTCTTTGTTAGAGATTTATTGACTTTGAGGGTTGTTGTTCGGTAAAATGACCAAACTTCAGCGTTTAATTGATAGTTTGGTCAAACCACGAGGAGAGTTGATGTAATTAACCCTAATTCTAATGAAAATACCTAAATTCAATATGGAAACTCATAAAAATGTTGCTCAATTGATTTGAAACAGATATTTCAACCTAAGCAAGCAGATATTCAACCCTCAAAAAAAAAAAAAAAACAGATTTTCAGCCTATGCAAACGAAAAGCGCTGCTCACTTGGTTTGTTTTCAAATGTAGAAAAATTGTGGGCTCACTCTATCCGGATGCCAAGATCAAATTCGTCCATCACCGTTTTTTTGACCCTGTCAAGCCCATTCTAGATCATGCTCTAAGCCGCTTGCAAATGCGTATGGATATGGATAGGCGAAGGCCACTCTGGTCGGCCTGTAATTCTTTTGTCATATTTTTGAGTCGTAGTTTTGGGTTGGACCGTTGTAATAAGAAAAATGTTCAAGTGTAACCGCTAGATTTAGCTCTCTAACGCACAACCATAAAGAGTAAAGACCCATTGCCAGGTGGACTTATTATATCAAACCGATGAGTAACTTTGGGTTTCTGATAGGCAAAATATTGGCGCCTTTTGTTTTGTAGCCGATGAGGCGCTATGGGAAAAAATAAAATATGCAGGAGCTGATTAAACTTATTTAAATTTAATCAGAAACCATTTTGTATTGTCAGATAGTAAAATTTTATCATTATTTCTAAAAAACTGCACCACAGGAAGTAATTAATATTTTATTTGTTGATTTAATAGTTTTCTTATTTATAAGCATGAATTTTTATGTTTTTCGCTAATTAACTGTCTTTTCAATAATTAATGGCACGAAAATGGAACTTACAATGGTTTAGATCATCTTTAAGGTGTAAGAATAGACGTAGGGTCAACAAATAGTGTTATACTGACAAAAAAATAAAATAAAATTTTACTACCTTTGATTAAGAAAAGGATTTAAACAAAGAAAAAATCATTCCTTTCTCGTTTTAAAAACTTAATCATTGATAATCATCGAATTATTTTGTCTTTTTTTTTTCAATATTGTTAGGTCATTGTTAGCTTTAAACCTTTCATTATAGATGTGTTTCTTCGTAATTAGGCGATAGTTGCTTTCCAAATAGGGGTGTCAATATGTCAGGTTCAGGTCGAAATTTGAAAATTCCGGACTTGAATCCGTTTTCATGTAGTAGACTCGAATCCGACCCGTATACTAGATGGGTCTTGATCCTAGAGTCCTGGAATTGGGTCTAAAAGGTTCAATTTTAAATTTTTCAAAATTAAATCCAAAACTAATTACAAATTCAATCTCCAAACTTAAACAAATCAAATTACAAACCTAAATCACAAATAACTCGCAATAGTCAATCCAAAATTAACCATAAAGCAATCTACACAAATGTATTTTAAAATATTTATATTTTATAATTATTAATATATTGTTTGGATTTGGGTCGAATACGGGTCGAAATCCTACATTCCGTATTCGACCCGTTTTTTGTTAGAGTAAATCGGTTTGGATCTAGATTCAAAATTATTTTTCAACTCACACCCGAAAAACTTTATTGGACCTGGGTCGGATCCGGGGTCTAACCCCGACCCATAGGCACCCCTATTTCCAACCCCCCCCCCCCCAAAAAAAACATGTACAAATAAAATAAAGGAAAGTACCTTGCACAGCTCCTCTCAGAACCTAAGAAATTGCAACGCACGCATGGGAGTAATATAAATGCAAGGCTTTTTGAAGACATGGAAAACATGGATGTGGTAAGGCCTGTTTTCTAAGTATTAGTCAAAAACTACTCTTTCATTCACTTCTAACTTCTGCTTCTGGTTTAGTCTTGGCTTAAAACCAACGGTAAAGAAGTAACCTTCATCAGCGTATACTTTGTTGGGCTAAGAAGGTCTTCAAAAGACATCTGTTATGTTCTTCTCTTGCTTCTTTTGTTTATTTTCTTCAAGAAACACACTTCTAGTTGTACAAACTTTTTATCCCAGTATGGAGATTAAACGATTTATATGTGCCTTGTTAGAACCTACTAATTCTGTCAATTACTGATGCAGATACAGACACAAAGGGGGTGTGGTAAAAGTCATGGTAGACGACTTGCAGTTTGCAAAATTTGCCATCTCTACTACCAAATCATCAAATTTAAATATCTCAAGTTTTTTTTTTTTTTTTTTTGCCTTTTATCCATCTTTCCTCGTGGTCTAGTGTCCAGAGTTCACACTGGTTTTGATTCATATTTTAATGCATCTGAGTTGGCGTCAATATTTTTGGGTCAATTTGGTTTGCTGGCCCTTAATGGGGAATCCTGCAAAGAAATCAGTCAGAACTCAGAAGATCCTCCATTTGCCATTTTTATATTTGACAGCTTCCAGGCTAAATCATTTTGGGAACCACAACACCAAAACAGTTACAGCTGCTTTGGCACGAAGAATTCAATGATGGCATCTGCAACAACAAATTGAAGGTAATATATATATAAACAAGATAATTAATTTAGTAAATTGGAAGAAATGAGAACCGATTAGTATAATGCAGTGTTATTAAACTCAGTTCGATCTGACAGTTTAATCGATCAATTCGATGAATCAGCAATTGAATCGAACTAAATCTTTAATTGAATCGTTTAAACAATTAAATCGTTGATTTGCCAACGGATCGGCGATTCAATTAGTCAACCCGGGTAAGGAACTTGAGTTTATATATTGTTATGGGAAAAATTTTGAGAATATGCTAAAATAATGCTAAAATTTTGTCGGCGGTTGTACATGTCTTCTTCTTTTTGTACACAACTGAGGTCACGATGATATACAATAGAAAAGCAGAAAAGATAACTACAGCTATAAAAGTCCACAATAACAATTACTAATAGATGCTGATTATACACAGTCCATTATCTCCAGTCAATGAAATCAAAGAAGAGCTTTAATTATCCTACATCCTCAACAACCCAAAAAAGGAGCTATAAACTAAAGCAAGCATTTTTTTTCTCCATCACTAAATAGGTGGTCACCAATCGATCTTAATTAGACAATTAGAGAAATTAAACCAGATGAAAGCAGACCAACTAACACACTCTTAATTAGACAACTAGACAATCTGAACCAGATAAAAGCAGCACTTGTTCAGTGGCTTAGAAGGTACTTTTTTCTCAACGCAGGAATCTATAGACAAATCTCTCCACTCCACAAACGTAAAGTACATGAACAAACATAAGACATGTCATAATAGATATGTTGTATTATTGTCTAAAAACTAAATCCATTTACCATTTTCAGTGCTATGTTAAACAAAGATCTAATAATCAGCTTTCTTTCTGTATTTGCCAGACAGACCATCCAGTCGAGTCCATGTCCAGGCAGTCCAGCAATGAACAGTCAGTACTACTACTACTGCTGCTGCTGCTCCTGTACTGCAGGCCAGTGTCAGCACGGCGTCGTCTTTTATCTCATTAAATCAGTTGATGCCCGCTTCTTCTTGTTCAGAGTATTTCTTAAATCCAATCCAACAAGAGCCTCTCATTTGCTGTTTTCCCACCTCATCTATTCTGTCCATTTCTTCCACATCCTCCACCTCCTTGTCATGAATCTCTTGACACGTCTCTCATCCACGATTCAACTCCTAAGATACTCCAAATTAAAAAATCACAAACAAACAACCGATCAAATTAAATTATTCAGAAAGATCAGGCCCCTAAAATGAAATAATTGTCTCCTGCACTTAAAAAGAAAATTTATAATTATAAAACCCCCCTTAAGCAGCCACCACTCACTCCTCCCTCTCTCTCTCCTGTTCTCCTCTCTTGCTTTTATCTTTGCTGCTCTCTTTCCAACCCTGCATTCCACTATACAAAATCTTGGCACTCTCCCTCCCACTCAACCCTCTTCACTCTTTTGTTTTTTTTTTCTCCATTTCTGAAGAACAAAAGTTGCACGATGTTTGAGGAATCTGTGTCAATCACTATACCTTCGATCTGGGCATCCATGAACAGCTGGTTTACTCCTGCTGTTCTCTTTGTTCTCCTCAATCTTATGATTGGTACCATTGCAATTACTTCGACTTTAGCCAACCAGAAACAGCACCACAACCATCAGCACCAGCAAAACTCCCAAAATGATCTTCATCCTCAACAACCCAAGCTTGCTAGATCACCATCTGTTCTCCAGCGTTTGAGGTCCATAAATTTCTACCACTACAGATCCATGATTCTAGTTCAATTGCAAACCATTTCAAAACCATCCCAGATTCAGACACCCATTACGGTTTTGAACGAACCCATCAGCCCCAAAGCCTCGGAGAGTCTCACTCCGAGTACATTTTTGAACAAGCCCATCAACCACAAAACGTTGGAGAATCTCACTCCCAATACATATTTGAACATACCCGGCAAGAGAAGCCGGCGCTGTTCGTGGAACGAGTTCAAGAAAATCAGACCCATTACTTTTTTCAACAATCCCACGAAGAAAATGAGCAGGGAACCGGAACCCATTTCGTTTTTCAGCAAACCCACGAGGAGAATGCTGAAGAAAACGGAAGCCGCTTCCATTTTGAGCAAGGGCACGAGGAAAATGGAAACCCTTTGGATTTTGAGCAAACCAACGAGGATGAAGTTGAGGACGAAGAAGTGCAGACCTTGGATGAAGTGTACAGTCAGCTCAAAGGGCGGGGTCATGTTGGCAGGTCAAAGCCAGATACTAAGCCGATCGCCGGTGATGTTCCGGCGAGGCTACCGACAAAGATGAAGAAGTCAGCGAGTATGGAGTCTGCGTTTAAGCACTTGAAGGAGGAGGACATTGTGGAGGCTCGCCGTCCGGCGACTGTGCGAGAGACGGGTACCAAGTCCACTGAAGGTGACGACGGGTTTGATGCTAAATGTGATGTTTTCATCAACAAGTTCAAGGAGCAGTTGATGTTGCAGACGATGGGTTCTATCGTTGGAACAAGGAGGTGATTGTAGAGGGAGCGGAGAGTAAGGTTGGGGTGATTAGTGGGGGTTGTTTTACAATTTACTATTAATTTTGGGGTTCTTTTTTTTTTTTGAGAAATTGAATAGGTCAAAATCGTCAGTGAAGATGGTTTAATGCCTTTTTTTTTTTTATTGGAATTCCATCTAATGGATAAAATGCTACTGTCTGTCTTTGTTGGTTGAAGATTATTTGGTCACATTCTCGCACGTTAATTTGTTGCTGACAATTATCGTGTGGTTCTTGGGCATTTTGGCCTTCTGCTCGTACACAAGAGAGATGGTCATTGTCAAGAAAAATTTTAGGTGTCTGGATGAGGATTGAGGTCTATGCTGAAGGGATGTCACTGCGGTCTTCGCCAAGTAATTCATCAATAATGTTTAGGTGGTGGACTTATTCTGCCTGGAGATAAATCACTTTCATATATTGTTGATCTAGTGCAGCAGGCAGGCAGGCAGGACTAATTTACTCAAAATTGCAAATGCCGTCTTTTTGTTGATTTTCCTTTGACAACCCTATACCCCTTATACACACCCCACTAACACCCTAAAACATATTTAGGTATTCTACCTTGTTTCGATTGTGGTTTTCTGCTTAAACAAAAATTTTACGTTTTTCGCGAACACGGTGTTTAATTATTTTTTAATTTCATATATATATATATATATATATATTAAATTACTATAATACATTTTTTCGCGTAACTCCACTCCTAGTGAAGCATACTTTTCTAAGGTGTTTGCTTAGTTCTTTCTCTACCATTGTAAATATGCAATGTGTTGTGGCTGTTTTGGGAGAAAAACGATTGAAGAGGAAGGGATTCAATAGTTGGAGGAGGTTGGTGGATTTCTTGATTCCCATTTGGGTTGTGGGATCATCATGTGGGTAGGGATCAAGAATCTAGAGCATATGCTGATATACCAAATGGTGAGTTGCACTTGCACATGATGGGGTGCTCATCTTCAGTACACAACCTACACATATGTATCCAGGTTATGAATCTTTGAGATTCCTTTACCCTTTTCCTATGTTTCCATTTTGGAATTGTTACTTTGTTACAAGTGGTGAGTCTGTGCTTGATGTTTCGTAGCTACAATATATGTAAATCTTTTTCACTTCAGTAATGGTTCAGTCCTTTTCACTTCTCCCTTTTTATATGGCAAAGATTTCTGCTGTGACTGGGACCTGAGGGAAATGCTGACCGCTAATGAGTAACAACATTTATCATGGAAAAAATATATTTATATTTATTTTTTTTCAAAAAAAAAAAAAAGACCATCTATTTATTTTTTTCTGGCATTTGGATGCCATGTGGTTTGGCCATATTCTCATTGCATAGGGAACTGGGCACAGAAAGCTGTCAATGAAATTGTCTCGGAATGGTTTTGTTCATTTAAACACAATGCAAATTTACAACAATTTTTTTTGTGAGTTCCATACATTGCATTGAAAATAATGTAGGAGCCTCATATTTTCTTTTATTGGCCATCAACCTTTTGGAACGACCATACTTGCCCCTAATTTCGTTACACACCATAGTAACGGACTAAGGGTTTGTTTGAATTGCGGTTTATTTATCAAAATATATTTATTTACATCATCATTACAATTTTCAACACATCTTTTTATCTTTTCAATTATCTTTTTATCTCACATACATCACATCACAAAAAGTGCTACAGTAAAAATATCTCTAATAACTCACAATCCAAACAAACCCTAAAAACGAGTCCGAGAAAAAAAAAGATAACAGGTTTTGGCTTATGGTGATGATCACTTGTTAAGAGTGTTTATTTTTTTTGTAAAAATAAAATAAATTTTAAAAAATACAATAAATATGAATATATGCAGTCACAGATCATTATTCAATCAATGCTAGGATAATAGTTTAGTAGTGCAACCAGCTGCGAGCTTCATTCAACTCTTCCTCCACCCCACCTAACAGCCTTTCCAGTCCAACTATAAGCCACCATTTTCCAGTAGTTATCCCCCCTCGTCTATCTTCCCTCCACTGTCAATTGTTCCCCAACTCTCCAGCCAGGATTTTAGCAAGAAATGCAAATGCCCCTGCTGCTCATCTGCTCTTCATCCTTGTCTCTAACCTTCCACACCGTCCATCATTATCTGACAACAACCTCACCCTTTAGTCTTCGCATTGTCCATAAGACCAGCACAACAATATCGGCCCCTTGTTGAACGGCGGTCTTGTCTCTTCACCTTGTTGAACGCATTCATCAACAACAAAACACAACTATGGTTCCCTTTTTGCCCAAGCCACTATGCCTTATATTTGTAGAGGCCATGTGTTCCAAACAATATATATAAAACCACCTAAAAACATTGAAATGTTTGAGCAAAAGAAAATGGACGGATTACCTTGCTCCTAACATTAGACAGGATGAAATACAAACCAGTGTGTTTATGTCCAGTGGCAGATTTAAGGTGGGGGCACGACCCCCACTGCTCCCCTTAAATTCCTACAATATTCATAGAATTTTGATATAATTTCAAGTGTGTCTTCGGAGTTTTTTTATGAAACAAGTGAAAGAATTGCGTGGTCATTTAAATTGGTTCACGAACTAATATTCTAAAAGGACGTGTGGGTCACAAAAATTCCATTTGAAGCAAGTTCAAAAAAGTGTTTCATTTTAACTTGTAGGTGAATATTTTTTTACTTAAAAAACTAAAAAAAAAAAAAGTAGGCAAAAATTTTAGTGTTGCTTTTGCCCCTACTGAAAATTTTTTCTGGCTCCGCCACTGTTTATGTCACTACAATTTCATCTCTGCTTGTATCAACATATGTGTATGTCATTAAGGACTTGTTCATTCTTGGTTCAAAATACATTGTGAGGGTTAAAACGTTTTTGAGGCGTTCTTGAAACTACTACTCTAGTTTTTCTCTTATTTCTGAGTTGACAGAAGCCAGTTTTCAAAAGTGGCTTTTCAGATGCTTTTAAACCACCTTTCTTTTTCCTTTTCAAGACTTCAAAATATATTTTCAACTTTCATGCAATTATTTTTCTATGAGCAGCCAAGATTCACTTGGTAAGATGGCAGTGGATGATGAAGAAAGTGGTAATTACATTTCAATGAAGGGGGAACTCAAGGCTACTCACCTCTTTTCTTCAGGGAATTTTGTTTGGAGTTGGGGTCGAAGGTCACAAGTTTTATAGGTATCTAATTATTATTGGCCAAATGAAACAAATCCAAATGTTGGTCTTTTTTAAGGTCACCGACTAAAATGAGGATTAATTAGGAGGGGGAAATCCCAATCCCATGGACAGACATCTTACCAACCATCTAATCACTTGTACGTGGTAACAACCGGGGTAAAAATATGATTCAGCAATTAATTATGCGGATCTAATCTGTCATCAAAATGTTTAAAGCAAAGGTTCTTTAGATCTCAAGTAATGTGGATGACAAGCAACACAAAAATAATGCCGAGTACCTGTTGTTGTTTATCTAATCTAACGTTACATGCTCTGGTTTGCAGATGCTATGTTCAAATACCACTCACTCATGAGTCATGAGTTGGTTGGTTTTTCCATTCTTCACGGCAACGTCTTCTGGAGCACTGGATCAGCTTTAGCCTTTAGCTAGTGGAGTTTTCCATTACAAACTTCACGTAATACTACTCTTTTTACTGTTTTTGTTTAGCCTATTTATGTCGGACTTTGTATTAATACAAGTCTGTGGAGTAAATCACATCGACAGATTAACTGTTTAAGACTTTGTTTGCTAATTTTATGTAGATAGACTACGACAGCTAACAGATTTACTCTAAATTAAACTCATTTACAACCATCTCTCCTCTAGAAATGTTGAGAGATATGTTCAGTTCTACTAATTAAAAAACTCAACGCCCCAGGAAAAAAAATAAAAATTGAAAAATAAATAAACGAAATAGAAATTTGGAATTTGGGTTCTAAACTATATATATATATATATATATATATATATCTGATTGCGCAATTTGTCGGGAATCTGGAACTCTCAGTCGCTGTTAGATGAAGTCAACAGATCAAAGAGACGACTAGTATATCGTCAATCATTCAATATTCAATGGCATCAGTCATTTTCATTGAAACATGCAAAAAAAAAAAAAAAAATGTGTTTGACAAATTTCCAGTGTTAGTTTCGGATTGTGGAAAAACATAAAGGTCCCCATCAATTCTGTTGACTCTTTCGCTTTTGATTACGCTCTATCCAACTTCCTGCGTCAAAATAAAATAGAGAGTAAGATATGCATACGGAATCTTGAATGCGATGGCAGCAGCAATAATTCTGCATTCCTGAAATTTTCGGCCCACTTCACGTGTGTAAGTTAGCAGTTTAGTAAAGGGGTTTGCGATTTTGGGCTCAAGCATTTCAAAAATGGCTACAGCCCTCTGTGTCAGTTGCTCTTCCAAGCCTAGTACTGTTACGGATAAGGATTTCTTGCCAGGAAGACGCAAAGCTGGAAAGATTATCGAAAACCTTGACGTTGGCATCAACGTGAGGAGTCCCATTTCAACCGGCGATTCCCCGAACATGACTAGAGGCATGAAATCCTCACTTGAACAACGTAGGAGATTACTGAGTTTTGTAGACTCGGGTTGTTTTGAAAATGCGCTCCATGTGTTTGAAGAAATCACTAGACCAAGCACGTTTATTTGGAATGTTTTGATAAGGGGATTAACAGATAACGGGTTCTATCAAGAAGCCATTGATTTGTACTACAGGATGGAGTGGGAAGGAGTTGGGTCAGATAAATACACTTTTCCTTTCGTAATTAAGGCGTGTGTTGGGTTATTTTCTTTGGTTGATGGACAGAGGATTCATTCCAGGGTAATTAAGATGGGGTTCGATAAAGATCTTTACGTTTGCAATTCCCTTGTTATTATGTATTCAAAGCTCGGCTGCATAGAGCAGTCGGAGAAAATATTTGCAGATATGCTGGTTAAAGACGCGGTGTCTTGGAATTCTATGATCAGTGGGTATGTTG